AGCTTGAAGAAGAAACTAGTCACTCACAGCAGGGTCCTTCCTTTTTCCAATATACTCTCATTGCCAAATTGGCAAGACAAGGTTTTACCCAAATCAGATCATCAATATACCTTTCACTCTCAAGAGACTCAGCTGTCAAGATTGACTGATCGGGAAACTGGGCTACGTTTCCCCTTGTTATGTAATAGAAGCGCAGTCCACTTCCACGGACGGGAACATATACATGGCATGGAACCAAGCTGCCGTAGCTAGGGGTTGTGCTCTGAAGATGATCCGAGATCTACATACCCCTTTTCGTTTCTGTTAGGAACTGTGGCCGAACTATGGATTCATTACATGCGAAACTGAGCCCTAGAGATTCTGCTCACAGTGTTCATCGGCACACAGCCAATGGACCGATAAGAAGGTTGAAAGCGATCTTAGGCTAGGGTCGTGTCAAGCACGTGGATTGGGTCGCCGAAGGTACTCAAAGTAAATGTGCGGATGGAGATGTGGGGGCACTCAAAAAACGGATTGCGCGGAGCCCGGAGGAAATGGAATAGGAGACAAGGTTTGGATTAGAAGAGATTTTCCGCTCTCTTCTTGGGTTCACTTGCTCCCCTGTTCGCTTGTATTGCGTGGGTTGATCGGGTAGCTCGCCTATTCTTTCAGAATCTGTGTTCCTCTCTCTCTTATTGAACCGTTGACCGTCAAAGGTTACATCGGCATGTCCATCAAACCCTATACATACTTCAAAGTCTAGTCGATCGTTGTCTACGATAATATTAGTCTTGAGTTGACAGGCACTAGTCTACTATTTACCTGCATTCCATAGAACTCACCACGACTAAAACCAAATAGTCCATCGTTAAAGTTCAACACCAGAATGATCGTCGCTGGAGCCAGTGGGGACAAGATTGTTGCCACGAGGCCGCGGTTTCTTCAAAGGCCGCGTTGTCGTTCCAAATCAGATTGTATACTTCGGTATCCTTATGTCATCCCTGCGGGTCTTCAGGTCCCACTGTCTCGCATGGGCTCCATGGGGCTTGTACCACTTCCAATGATGTCCCTGTGTTGCCCTAAGTCGCCAGCTCCTCGTCCTACGAACTGTGCATCTTCAACCGTGGCTTTGAGGAAGGACCCATAGCATGATTCCCGCCTTTCCGGCTTTTCCTATGCCTAAAATGCTTAGATGATGGGCATAAAATGTAGTATATCTGTCGTGGGTCCCATACCCGCCAACCGGCCTGGGTTCTTCAGGATCCTGTATCTTCCTCCGATTAGTCTCACACAGCCGCAGTGTATTCTGCTCCTCTGAGACCGGGGCTATTCCTTCATAAACATCTACTAGACTGATCTTTCGTTACTAGTGGAAGAGGGGCATTGGCATTATCGACCACCCTTCTCCATGCATGTCACTCCTTTGAATACAATCATCCCGATTCTCCTGAACCAGTGACCTGCAAACCCTATCATCTTTTCCCTTCTGCTTTACAGCAAGTCATTCTTTTAACGCTTTCACCATGACGATTTCCTCAAGGGGAGCTGAGATGATATGCATCGTCTCGGTGCTGGTCGGTCTTTCCCTAATATCAGTCATCCTGCGAGTCTTCGCCCGAATGAAACGAAGCATTGGGCTGGGCATGGACGACTATCTCTGCTTCCTTTCAATGATACTTCTGATTGCTATGCTTATTGAATTAGTGCTATGTAAGTATTGTGAAATCCACTAACCCTAAACCTGTTGCTGACCGTCATGTAAAAGGGGTTACCATCGGTGGCAATGGATCCCATATGGCAGACCTGGATAAGACAACATTGATGAATTTCTCAAAGGTATGAGCATCTGCTATCTGATTCTGACCCATAGCTCTTGGGGCAGTATGCTAATCAAACCATAGATATTCCTCGCAAACCAGTTCACATACTTCATTCTCTGTCCGGCCATCAAAATCTCCATTATTAGCTTCTACCGTCGAATCTTCACCATGAAACCCTTCCAATGGGTATCATTCGCCCTCAACACCCTAATCGCCGCCTGGGGAACCGGTATCTTCCTAGCCTGTGCCCTACAATGTCGCCCCTTAAGGGGCTACTGGGACAAGAGCATTGACGGCCACTGCTTCGACCAGAACAAGTTCTTCATCGTCAACCAAGGCTTCAACATCCTCATGGACTTTGTTATCCTCTTCCTGCCGATCCCCATGATCTGGGGCCTCCAGCGCGCATGGCAGGATAAACTCGCCCTGAACGGCGTCTTTGCCATCGGTGGTTTCGTCTGCTTCGCCAGTATCTATCGTATCGTTGTTCTCTTCTGGATCAAACCAAATGACACCACCTACACCGTCTATCAGGCGACTCTGTGGACCCATATCGAGCCCTCCGTCGGTCTCATCTGCTCCTGTCTCCCCATCATCCGTGGTCTGTTCCCGAGATTCAAGATCCCCGGCACTCGTCGGTATGCGACCGCGCCTTATTATATCAATACCGATGTCAGCACCACCAATTTCGTCATGTCTAGTCCTAAGTCGCCTGCCTCCGCGTACTTCAAGATGATGGAGGAGGGTACGGTGTCCCGTGCTACGAGTGATTCTAATGTCCCCGTTGATAAGAATTACTTGGGTCCTATGGGGATTGCTGTTCGCACGGACTTCTCTGTTAGCAAGGACTCGGCTTCTGTGATGTCTCATTCTTGATCTTGTGGTGGCTGGTGCTTTATATCAGTCCGTGTTCCGTGATTCTATGGAAGTTTCGTTCTTTCTTGCCTTATTCTTACGACCTCATTTTTACGACTCTTATGTCTTACTGTCCTTTGTTATGGCTCAATGCCCAGACTTCTCCTTGCATGTTTCTTTCTAGCGTACCTTATCGTGTCTAGACGACTTTGTGTGACGTTGTGTATACTCTGACATCGATGTAATATACCCTGAGAATTATCTTAATGCCCGAGCTCTTTATTCTCTAGATTCGAGGAGTCTAAATCGTACTGCGTTGCTATAGCTGGTGGTATCCATCATTCATTCTTCGTAAATCCTCCGCTTTCAGTGTACGGTCTGTCCAACTCCAAAGTCCTAGAATCACAAACCGAGGTCAGCCATTCTGCGCTGTATGTAGTAGAAGCGATGGTATCTGTACATACCGGGAACGCGTCAGTGATACTGGTCGCTACTCTTTCCACATCCTCCGCGAGTCCTTGGACGCCGGCATCCCACTGCCTAATATGTCTCCCTGTGCCGGCTGTGCTCGATTCAAAGTAGATGATCCCATCGATCTGATCAATGCTGCCGCTCAACCGGCCCTGCTCGACCATCCGCGCCGCATAGGCCTCAGCCTTCTCACCCGCTGTCAGATCCCCACTTGCCTGGAGTCCCAGAATAGCGCCCAGCGCATCTGTAGTAATATTCTCATACAACTTACTCGCCGCGACGAGATTATGTTCAACCACCGCCTTATCGAGAACAGTAGTCCCGTCCGCCGTCTGCGCAAGCTGGTGAGGGGCTAACCTCTGCGAAAAAGCCGCGACTTCCGCGGGGGTCAACAGTCGGTCCAGGAACATCTTCTCCAGGATACCAAACTCCTCCACAGACGTCGCCCGGTCATCCTTGTACAACGTCGCCAGAATCCGGGAGCGCTGCGGACCAGCCGGGCCCAGGACGGCACAGCGGATGGCGGCAGCCAAAGCCTGCAGACGATCGCTCTCATCAACACCGGCCGCCAAACTCACATTGAAGTATCCCTGGCTGGCATCGAGGAACTTCCTCCGAGCGTCTAGGATGCGGGCCTGGGAGAGGTTGAAATGCAGCTTCAGGTCGTGATCTTCGATCTTGCTGGGCAGGTTCTTGATTCGGTTCACGACTGCCTCCGCACTGGTTGTATCATCTTCCTCTAGGTATAGCCGCACGATCCGAATCCATAGTCTCACTTTGGCTGCGTCGGACACCAGGCGTTGTGAGCTGTCGATGTGGATCCCTTGTAGTGTTCGTGCGGCTGCGATGTATTCTTCTTCGGACTCGTATGCGTCTGCGAGGAGTTCGCGGATTTGGGCATCCTGTTCTTCGACTGATGTGGAGCGAGATTGGAGGAGTGTGATGGCGTGTTGGCCTACTTTGATCTGGGTTTCAGGGTTCAGTTTCCGGAGAACGTCAATGAACGAGTCGAGGAGTGGGCGGGCGGCGACGATGCTGATGTCTTCGCTGAGAATGGAATCGAGATAGAATGTCAGATCTTGAGACAACTGGTCCCCAGATGATGTTGAGACAACGTCGGACAGAAGGTCGTTGTAAAGCTGTAGCTTGTTTTGGGGATTAGCGGACGATTCAATCTCCGCGAGGGCGGAGGTGATCTTTTGTGAAGCCATAGGAGAGCTTCTCGGGCGGGGTGGCGGATGTTTTGAAGTAAAGTAGGAGATAGTATATGATTCAAGCTTTGTGTAAGAGGTTGGCTATTATTTGTCTTGTGCGATCGGTGTGACGGAGGGAAGATGTTGTACCTTTAACTCACTGCGGGCACAAACGATGTCAAGCTTGGCTTATCGATAAGGGGGACTAAAGGGGTGCAATAAGACTACTAGTACGGAGTAGCATCACCACTATGCGGGGTTTTCTGCCTCGAGAATTCCTTAGGCGAGCTTAAAGTCTATATTGCCTTGCAGCTTTGTTTAATTGATTACTTCATTGCCCGATGATACATAGTCTTGTTTGAAATGTTACTCAGTGTAAAACCCGTTGATTAACTAACTCCCTTGCCTCACCGAAATAGATAATACGTTGGGTGTAGTCTCCATACTAGATCTCAAGATAAGCTAGAGCAGATCCTTTATAGATCCATTGAAATTCAAGTTTTCCATATTGGGACTTCATTTTGAGTGGAAGGGTGTGAATTGTTGTTGATAAAGCCTATAGTAAAATGCAACTGAAAGGCGGTTAAAGATGCCGCCACCGCCTTTGACTGACCCGCCGCTCGGCAGCTCCCTCTGCAGTTAAAGCAGACGCATGGCAAGTGTTTCAACATCACGTCACACCACCGACTGCATACCGTCTAGAACATCGCTCGTCGCCCAGATTGCTCTAAAACACGGTCGCGTTGCCCGATACTACCAGTTGGTGAAATCTCAGATTCTCATTTGTTTGTGGCGGCGGTTAGCGCCATGGTTCCCCAAATCAAACAGGACCCCGACGCGGCATCACCGTATATCAAGCCCGACCCGGACAGCAAAGATGCTGTTCTTGCCGACATCGACGATGATGAAGATCTCTATGAAGATGCAGGCGATCTAGACTTTTCGAACGCGGCGCAGAGCGTATGGCTCTCCCGCATTCCTCGAACGCTCTGGGAGCATTGGAACAACCTCGACGACGATGAAGAAATTCAGATCGGGACGGTTAGGATCGAGGGCCCTTTAAACGATATCAAAAGGGTAGGTGCTGATTATGGACGGGTAGTGCTCGCATCGCGGTCATTACCTGTGTGCTGTTATCCCTTAGGGCGTTGTCTGACATGCGAATCTTTGTAGGTCAGTTTGCGTATCAATGAACGGGAGGAGAACCACGATATCCCAAAAGACTACCTATTGCAACGGCAAACAATAAACACAGAACAAGTCTCCTCTCACTCTACGCAAAATACGTATTTATTCACAGAAAAGGATATTCCCGGCCATGAGAATCGGATGATCACTTTTGGCGAGGCGCGGTCAGCCCTGTACGAGTCGATGAAGCGAGAAGCAAAGAAGAAGGAGCGGAAGAAGAAGTGGGAGCCTTATGTGCGGAAGACAGTGCCTAGTATGTGCCCTTTGGCTGGTTTACATAAGATGAACGAGGAACAATGCTTACGCCTTGACAGAACAAACTGCCCTTGTAGGCAGTGTTTCCGAGGAGTTCAACTGTCTCCCTGTGGAGAACGAAGAGTTCCGGCTACTCTCAGAACAGAAAGTCTTGCAATCTCTCAAACCGAAACGCGAAACCGTCTTCATCGACAAGGTCCCTGGAAAGCTCCTTCAGGCCAGAAACATTTTACCGGGAGAAAAGGGCGCCTTCGTGGTAAGTAACCCAGAGCCCTTATACACTTCTTCGCTTTACGTTGGTCTAATATCGATACAGCAAGCAACAAAGGCGGCAAAGCTCAAGCCTCAAGAAAACAAGACGACGCGTATGCCACAAAACGAGCTTCTGGATCTCATTTACCAGTGCTTCCGAGAGTACAGATACTGGCCATTTAAGGCGCTCAAAGCAAGACTCCGACAACCCGAGGCATATCTTAAGCAAACGTTGGAGATGATTGGTCACCTTGTCAAATCCGGCGATTTTGCTATGACTTGGGAGCTCAAACCAGAAGCGAAAGAAAGCAGCTATGCGAATGCGTTGTCATACGGTGATGCAAAGGAGGAGATGGCGCCTGGTGCCGATTACAACTTCGACGACGCCTCCGATGAGGAAGCAACACCCGGAATGTTCACAGATAACGATGAAATGCAGTTTGAGAATGTTCCCTAAAGACCATTGGATTTATCTAGCATAAGCAAGGTCATGGCGTTCGTCTTGGGTTCTCTGTTGGGTTGATTTCATAAAGGCCATTCTGGAGTTATCAATTGTGGGCTTAGATGCCAAACCATAGTATACAAACAAATGCATCAATTCACAAACCAGGAGTGAAACTAGTGTAAAGCTCGAGTAACTAAAATATTGAGTTCTTTGTAAGAGCTATCTAATCCAAGCTACCTGAATCTCACGTGACCGCACCCGCCACAGGTCAAATCACCTTTCCACTTGCGTCAGCATTAACAATCATTACTCTAAGATTTCATCACGTTCATAACCACACTGTAAAGGACAGAACAAACTTTGTGCATGTGGTCTACTAACTGTGAATGCTAGCCATATTCTTTATTCACCATGACAGAAGATCAGGACCTCATGGCCAAGATCAGCCAGCTTGCTGGTAAGCATACGTGACGCGCACTTGACAATAATTCTGCCCGCTCATATCAGATAGGCCAGATCAATAGACACAAGACCCAGAATACCCCAACATCAACGCCTTACGGTAGTGATTATCAATCAGGTCATTATGTAGCACGTCATGTACCCTCTCGAGGGCGTCCGGGTTGGGCGCCATATCGCGGACGACCGTATGGGCGAGGCCGTGGCGCTGCTCCTCACCGACACCGTACACTCGTTCTCAACAATACAGCGACACCAGGGACTCCAGGTGGTGCGACACCCTCTACTAACTCTGGGATGGATGTTGATAGCGAGAGTCGATCGACAACACCAAATGGATGGGTTGCTAAGCGCGACCGACACATGCAGTTGATCAACTCTGCTATATACGACCAAGAAGCGCAGGCGAGAGCGAAGGCTATGGAAGAGAGTCGCAAGGCCAAAGAGAAGAAGAAAGCAGAGATCGAGCAGGCCAAAGTACTCAGATACGCGCAGGGTGTCGGTAGGCAGTATCCTAGCTCTGCCGCTCCCCAGGTTGCCCCGGGGCCGTCGGCGGAGTATCAGGTCTACCTCAACGATATACCTTTCCGTGTCTCACGAGGCGGTAGTAAATTGATAAGAGTGTCTGGTGCGGCTTTCTCTGCTGCCACACTGACCAAGCGGGCTGGCTTACCGTTAATAGATGATCCGAATACTGTCAATAACACACCAAAGAGAGTAACTATTGCCGGCGTTACCTTTGTTCGGAGCAAAAATGGAAATCTCCACCGTCTTGGTGCGGTTACTTCGAAAAGGTGATTGTACTGCTCTCGCATTCTAGGATTGGACACTCACAACAAGTACAGAAAGCCCAACGCCACTAAGAAGAATGAGCTTTGCCGCAGATTCACTACGACCGGTAACGATGATTTCCCTTCGACAAACCTGAAATTTATTTCTCGACGTCGTTTTTTGCCTACAAAAACCGTGCTGATCGAAACGTGATTTCTTAGGTACCTGTTACAAAGGACCATCCTGTCTATACGTTCATGACCCAGATAAGGTCGCGCTGTGCAAAGACTTCCTCCAAACTGGTGATTGCACCGCAGGTATAAGTTGCGATCTTTCCCATGAACCTTCGCCCCACAGATCCCCTACTTGTATGCATTTCCTCCGAGGTCGCTGCTCCAACCCGGAGTGCCGATATGCCCATATCCGGTTGACTCCTGGTGCACCCGTTTGCAGAGATTTTGCAAATCTGGGCTATTGTGAAAAAGGCGCTAATTGCGACCAACGACATGTACATGAGTGTCCTGATTATGCCAACACGGGTGTATGCAACAAGAAACGTTGTCGCCTGCCCCATGTTGATCGTGCAGGACAAATTCGGAAGAATACTGGTGCTAACAAAGTCGATGCCACGAATGACGATGATTCTGATGCCTCTAGCGAGGATGAAGAGTACGATGAAATCGATTCTGATGATGTTGACTCAGACGATCTTGACGAGGATGAGCCGGAACTCATCATAAAAAGAGACGGCAGTAACGATCTTTCGCAGCAGCAGGATTTCATCCGCTTCTAATTGTACATGCCCACTAACTGCACATAGCTGCAAGAATAGTGTAACTGAGGATTTGGGTTGATCTCGACAGGCAAGATGAAGAGAGAAAAAAAGAGTGAAACAGAAAAAACACGAAAAGAAAATGAAAAGAAGAAGATGATGATGACGGACGATACAAAATCCAGTAATTAGAAGGGTATCTGCTTTTGGCCTTTTTTTTGCTTTATGCCTTACGAACTGAAGTTTCTGCTCGCGAAAGAAGTTACCGATACCCGTACAGCATGTTTCAGGACTTGTCTATTTGTCTGGTGGGTGGAGAAGGCTTGATGGTTTGGATTGTTGCATGGGTAGCAATCTACAAGTTGATAAGGAGGGACTGTAGTATTACTCGGTACTCTTGACTAGAGATCAGAAATAGATACTAGGATGGTAATGGCACTTCGTTATTTTTCTATGCAATATTATTCCCGCCTTGCACCCACGGGCAAACCTGTGACCATGAGCGTGACAAGAAATGCAACCGTCCCCAATCACGCAAACACTAACGAAATCCCCCGTGACCATGCCGCAAGGTTCTCAACTGCATGGAGCTTAAGTTGCATCTTAACCACCACCCTGAGATAAGACTGGCTCTATAAATATCGCCTCCTCCCCACCCCCAACTTGACTTGTCCCGTAAGGCCTTAATTGCTTCTCCCAGTGTGCAAGGATATTCCAAATATACCCCATAGTTCTTCTAGCCACAAGTATACCCGATCTGCACCCAAGATGGGCTCCAACAATTCAAAACTGGCCCCTACCAGTAAGAAAAGTAACGAAAAGCCTGCATGCGCAACAACGGCGACTATGAAATTGAAGCAGATAGCATCTGGCGGAGGCAACTTGGACACCCATGATGAGCATGAGGCCCGTACATGACCACCCTCCCCCCCACCACCAACTGTCTATCCATGCCCAAAGCAGTTACAAAAATAGTTATAATGGGCGCTGATAAAATTAGCACCTCCGTACAATGCGGAAGACCGGGCGAGAAGTCTCGCGATCCCGCAGTTGAAAGACTGGGAAGAGCTTCTCCTGAGTTCTGACAAGGTACATAGTACATACCTATTATCTTGAACGTTGAAATAGGGAAATGCTTCTACATTGATTGTTAGATATCTAATCCGGCTTGCTTTACTTAGAACCGTCTGGCTATTCTTAGTTTCGCCACCAATCCCTATTCGCAGGTCCTTACCAATCAGTCTGCTGTGCAGGCTGTGGATAGGCCGGTTTTCAATGTCAAAATTCCGTTGGAAGGCGCCCCGATCACGAATCAGCGCTCGTCAGGCCGCTGCTGGCTGTTTGCGGCGACGAATGTCTTCCGCGTGCCACTTATGAAGAAGTATAACCTGAAGGAGTTTGAGCTCAGTCAGGCGTATCTCTTTTACTGGGATAAGACTGAGAAGGCCAATTGGTTCATGGAGAAGATCATAGAGACGGCGGATGAGGATCTGTCCAGTCGCTTGGTGCAGAAGTTGCTCGAGGACCCCGTCACGGACGGGGGCCAATGGGATATGGTGGCGAACCTGGTGGGCAAGTATGGCTTGGTGCCTCACGACATCTACACAGATAACTTTAGTGCCCAGAACAGTGCGAAGATGAACTGGCTCGTGGCGGTGAAGCTACGCGAGCATGCGCTGACACTGCGGCAGTTGGCGCAAAGTCAGCCCGAAAGACTGGCGAGACAGAAGGATGAATTTCTGAAAGAGATCCACTCCCTGGTGACTATCATGTTAGGCCCGCCACCGAGTCCAAAGGAGGCATTCCACTGGGAGTACTATGATGCCGATGGCAAATTTCAAGAAGTATACGACAGCCCGCAGGGATTTGCGAAACAGGCCTCTGCGCAACTGGCCCGGGGAGATGTTGATCCCCGCAGGATGTTGAGCTTGGTTAATGATCCGCGGAATGAGTATGACCGATTGCTGACAGTCGATAAACTGGGCAATGTTGTGGGGGGACGTCCGATTACGTACGTCAATGTAGACATGAAGGTGAGTTCCTACGAAGGAATACTGTGTTTCAACGGTGACCAACGCATCCCCAGACGATCAAAGCCGCTGCGATTGCAATGCTTCGTGCAGGGCACCCTGTTTTCTTTGGCTGCGATGTTGGAAAATTCTACGACGCCAAGCTTGGGGTGATGGATCAGTGGTTGCTGGACCTCAGCTTGGGATTCAATACTACGCTGCGCATGGATAAGGCACAAAGACTGAATACCGGCGAGTCATCCATGACCCATGCAATGGTACTGACAGGCGTTCATGTCGAGAAGGGCCAACCAGTGCGATGGCGGGTGCAGAACTCCTGGGGTGAAGCCGTAGGAGACAAGGGTTGGTTTGTCATGGCAGATGAGTGGATGGACGAGTTTACGTATCAGGTTGTGGTTGACTCTCGGTTCGTTTCAAAGGAGGTGCGAGATATTCTAAAACAGAAACCAAAGGCCTTGCCACGATGGGACCCGATGGGAGTTCTTGCGTGACGAGTGACCAATCCTAGAAGTATACGATAGTTGCAGATCTACAATATTCTCCGTCATAGAGCATATCTGAAGGACAAAGGAGGTCTAGGAGACTTTACCACATGTTCACCCAAGCAGATACTCTGCTGCTCCGCAGTAAAGAAGCCACATAATGCGGTAAGCTGAAACTCAACAAGCCTGTCAGTGTTGCTCCGAGAAAACATGAAACAGAGTCTAAACCTGGATTTGCGTGTTCTGAGGCATCACCAGTGGTGCCACAAGTTGTCAAACTTGTCAAACCATGTGACTCACACCCTCACTCCGACTCTGCTGCACCCCATAGGCAAGGTACACACTCGCCCAAGGAAACGTCTGAGTGTCAGTCTATCCGGACGTCCCTATGCAAGTCCTAAGGTAGGTAGGATCCCATGGTGATCTGATCACCATCTGTGCCTGATGACCCCCTGTACGATTATTGGCCCAATCAAATCATGGAGGGTCAGGAAAAGCCAACCGGCCAATGGCAATGATTCCTTCAACACCGATATTTCGTCGAACCGATGAGATATTCGTGGTTAGCTTCTGGGGAAGATGGAGCTTGGATCCGATAGGGAGATATTCGAGAATATTGCTAGGATCCACAGTGCTAATTTCGCTTGTGTTGATATCTGACATAATGATATCAGCTTCAGAGAGAGAGACATGTTCTGGTGGTCGACGTTGACCGCCGTCTTGTACCGATGTACTCCGTAGATCAAAACGTATTTTTAGGGTTTCCTGCTCGTTTAGGCCTCTCTTATCCAAGAGGTTACTAAAGCAAGATACATCTGACAGGTAAAATCGGAGTACTCTTCATTCTTGGACATGCTAACATCTGAATAATGTATCTTATCTCCACGGTTCCATTCTCCTGGTCTCGGTGGCTTGCTGTCGAAAAGCATAGTAATTCTGTAGATCAAGCATGGTATGCAGATTCCCATGTTGGGCAACAAACTGCACCATGCACACGAGTCCGAGCATAAAAAAAAATAAAAAAAAAAAAGTCAAAAACGTTCTGGACCCACTGCAGCGGTGCCATTTGACTGGACCTGTCCATAAGCTCCCCGAAAATGGTAGAGAAACCGCGAGGTGTGGACAATGTCGGTATCAGCGGTATAGTTGACTCTCGAGTCTCGGTACCGTCTCCATTTGATTCGGTCTCATCGCAATGAGGCGAGAAAAAAAAAAAGGGG